CCCAATAATTCCCAAAAATCTTTGAATGATAGCTGAATAACTATATAACAAAACTGTGGCAATCACTTTTCGACAAGAACTAAGATTTCCAGCAACAAATGGTGGCAACCTAAATTCCACCCCCCGCCGCCGCCAAAAAGGCTGTCACTGCTGGGCCTATAGGAAGAACAGCTTTCTTAGGACTGATTGAGTTCACTCATAGTTTGGTTTCAGACAGAAGCACAAAGAATGTCAGGTAAACCTACCCAGATTACAAGGATCAACATAGGTGTTAAACTGTCTATATCTTTCCACGTATTTTCTGGCCCAGTCGGATGTAATGGTCAATATTGCAATCCGAGGGTCATCTTCGCTATGGATCTAGATTAGTAAACGATCAATTCCGTCACTCGTGCTCCACCTTAGTGATTGTGGTTGTGGTTTGTGTCTGAACTATCTGAAGACGATATCTCAAACGTGGTGGTTCAGTGTAGGCAGTATTCTACAATAAGCTGCCGTGGTTTGTGTCTGAACTACCTGAAAAAGATATCTGAAACGTGGTGTTCCCGTATAGGTAGTATTCCACAATAACCTGCAGCAGTCGGTCATATCTTACTACCTTGAAAAAATATCTCAAACCCAGAGGTTCAGTGTAGATAGTATTCTACAATAAGCTGTTGTGGCTTTTGTCTGAACTGTACTTGAAAAAGATAACTCAAGCCTGTAGGTCCAGTGTAGGTAGTATTCTACGGTGGATACTAAACCCCCCCACCAATATTGGCGATATGTCACTGTCTGTAACACCTGAAAGACATCTCAAACATTGGGGGTATAGGTTAACATTCTACAATGTCGTAGTTTAATTGTGTTTAGTTTAACACTTTGAAGTTACTGTACGAAGAGGAAAGTAGCCAAGACAACAAACCACGGCAACTGATTTTAGCTTTACCTTGAAAGAAGTTACATCGTTTTTTCCAAGCGAAAAGTCCAAGTGTTCATCCTCTGAAGAAGAAAGTACAATTTACAAAATATACATTTAATTTGCACTGAAAAGATTAAAAACAATGTAATATCGTAGCAAACAACCAATGGCTTCATTGGTTTATAGTGGTTGAAGAATTTACAACTTACTACATGTCACTTTAATAAGAATTCTGTCGTCACTGATCTAAATAAACATGACATAGTGGGACATTATTTTTCTTCAACACTCACTGACATCATCACCAGCGTCATCACCACCATCATTATTAGTACCACAACCATCATCACCACCATTATCAACATCATCACCACCAACATCGGTGGTATCACCCACCACCATCACCGTCGTCATCACCAAAATTATCATTAGTATCACCCACCACCACCATCATCATCGTCATCACCAAAATTATCATTAGTATCACCCATGCCACCACCCAGGCTTTTAGCCAGAAGGACGTTTTGGGACGCCCCTAGAACAAAAATTGGACGCCTTTGGACGCCCAAATTCTGGGGGAAAAGGGAAATTATTTTCATTTATTTCCTGAATGAAAATGTCGTAGTTAAGTAAAGAAGCATAGCGCCACAAACTCACAAACTGACATGGATTAACGTAAACTTCAAGGTTTTCCAGAGGAACGTTTTCTCTAACACCTACACCCCCCTCCCCC